GAGTGACATTATCTTAGCAGAATTAAAGAAATTCAGTTTTATAAACTGTTGTACCACGAATGAAAGTGAAAACCGCTGAATTGCGGCGGTTTATTTGCTTTAATTCCGTATTTTGCAGTGAAAAAGAAAATGCTATTTATATAAGTGGAACATAAAGGAATTTCAAACAGACCATAAAAGAAACCAAATACACTGCAGAAAATCTAAACTTCAGCCACAAATTGTTAAGTAAAAAGACAAATGAATTGTTCATTCTTAATCAGCAAAAGATCAGAGATTTCTTAATTTGATAACTGTAGTGGATGTTTGTTTTTAGGTATGGGATTTATAGGAAACTTATTATTAAAAAGCAAAAGTTATATAAGCAGTTTGTAACTATGATATGCTTAGGCACTAAAATCTTTTTTTGTGGGAGGAAAACAAGCCATGCAAAAATAGATATAGTTCAGTATCCTAAAATGTTAATGAAACTTTATTAAATTAATGATAATACTAGCAAAGTTCCAAGGTCTATAAAGGCAGACAATTTAGCTAAATGTTAGATCATAATTTCTTTGTAAATGGAAATGCTCAATAATGAACTTCAGTAGGGGCTTCTCTTTCCCATGGGTTGATAGCTATGAACATGTTTTTATAGTTATCTGAAGCTCATAATAGTTTTACCAGTTATTAGTTTCTGTTTTACATTTCTTTTGATTTATGTCAGTGTTATGATATTAGATTTTGCTGCATTATCAGTAACCTTAAGTTTAGATTCTTGTTACTGAAGAATGTATTTAAACTACTTCAGAAAATGTTAAAATTTTGTGCTTTTCTAAATATTCTTGTGCAAGATCAATAGTTATGTTTCAGCTATTATATAGATTTCATATTTTTACTTAGTTTGAAATAAAAAAAAAAGGCATTCACTTCTCTATAAAATGAAGCACTGAAAAGTAATTTATGAATTTGAATATCCTGAGAAAATTTTATTACAAAACATACTCTGCAGTTTTGTTTCATGCTTCATAGATGGAATGAACATGAATTTAACCAAGCATTTTCTTAACAACTTGCACGCATATGTTACAAAACAATATTGCTTGTAAAAACATTTTAATAGTAACAGATGTAAATAGTCTGTTTATTATAATAAATATGAGAATTTAAATTTTCAACATGTTAAATTAGAAATTTATTAAATGTAACCATCCAAGCAGTGCATTATTATTAAAGTTAATCATGGCAACTTGTCCTGGTACTCTCCAACTTGGGTTTGGAATAACAGAATATAGTCTACATAGGGTTTGCTGTAACTGAATAATCTATTCCACCCTTATTAACTTGAATTTGTACCAAAAGTTTGAAAATATATGCAAAGAATAATATTCAGGGTAAATGTATGATGTTTTGTTTTTTCCTATTTTCTTGATAATGCTTTATATTTGAAAGCATTTTCTCCTTATTTTTAATTTCACTAACTTGAAGATTTGTTCTCAACACACTTTTAAATAAGTTTCAGAAGAGTGCAATCATATATTCCATATACTGATTGTAAATTAACAATGGTTATAGGTAGATAAATAAGATATGTTGATTCAGATTTCAAAGCTATGGACTCGGTAGTAATGCTTTATACAGTGCATCAGCTAAAATATAAATTTGATATCAATTTTTAAAGGTACTGCAAAAATCTTGTCTTTAAGTTGAAAAAAATTATAATTTTACTAATTCATTATCTTCCTGATTTTTTAGTGTTTCTTTAGTGTTAGGGTCAATATGCATTAACATATTACCACATCAAATAGCTATTTTAATAATATACAGGCTCATAAATGTTTCTCAGTTAATAAATTTTACACCTAAAACCACCTGTACTCTAAAAATTTACTAGAAACATTTTGTGACAACATTTGATATTTTTTAATAATAGAAATTTAATCCAATTATGTTTTTCTAATCAGTTTCACTTAAATCTTTCTGGTGATTTCAATCAAAGGAATTCGCTGAGAATCTGCTTTTTGTTCTAACTATAAAAATCAAAGTTAGGTTAACTGTGATTTGTGTTTATGTATTTTTCAAAAAGAATTTACATCATATTAAAATTTCTTTAGAAAAAGTAGAAAAATATCAGATTTCATTATTCTGTACAAGAAAAATATGCATTAGGTATGAGAATTCCCTTATTAACAGTGAAAATAACATATAAGTATTTAAGATATTTAAAGCAAATAATCTTTAAATTTCGGACAGTTAAAAAGTATGCTATAGCATGGATATTTTTGACAACTTAAATACCCTTGGAAAAATTCTCATTAAACACACATTCCAAATATTTGATGATCGACTATGTCTATACCTAGCTCATAAAATTCTAAGGGGGATAAAAGAAAAAGCTGTCCAATGCAGCATTTTACAAAGCTTTAATTTTCAAAGACTTCATTTACACAGTGGATATATATGTGTTAAAAAATGCATGTATAGTTTTTTCTATAAATGAGTAGTTGACTTAATGTTAATCTAAATATTCCCAATTTTATGGATGTTATACTTCATTATTATTTTTTTTCTCCCTCCAGGATGCAGACTGAAAAATCTGGACAGTTTTTCCAACAAAAATTCAAGCATCATGTTACCTTCGGTATCGCTCTGCAAAACAAAAAAATTGAACTGAAGAATCGGAAAATGTTGTTTGATAAATATATATCTCAAGTCCATAATGAATCGTAATTTAACAAATTTTTTTCAAGCGAGAACTGCAATAACGAATCACTTTATAGATCTTTATTAAAATAGGCGTAATATATAAAAGATACAAAACACAAATATAATAAGAAAAGGAACGCAAGATCAAGTAAAAGAAAAAAAAATCGTTAAAAATTGGTAACTATAAAATGACATAAATTTTACTCACTCAAGTTATTTCTCATCTCTGCGATTTAATTAATCTTAAATGTGGCAGTAGCTACGTTCATTTCATATTCACAGAATAACCGTAACCGTGAGATTCGATTTTGAAATCGCTTAATCCCAAGCACCGAGTTCGGCGGAGTCGTTTCCCACAGCCATGCAAAATAGTTTCTACCACCGCTTTATCCCCTGTAATCGACTCTTCTCCACCGAACACGCTCGCTCAGATTACGGCGCGGCACTTCATTCCCGCTCGCTATCCTTCCCCGAGACGCACCGAAATGGATAACGCCAACATATAACTCCGTATCTCTAGACCTAATGATAATTTATTACAAAAATTAAGGACTTACTTTGATAAATCTATAATGTATGATATCCCAAGGTCAGAAGGTCAGCGACACTGAGGCAAGTACTAATAACGTTGATCAACAATGCATTCGTTGGAATCTCTTTTCCTTCGGCAGGCAATTAAAAAAAAAAAAAAAAAAAAAAAAAAAAAAAAAGGGCAGCTGCACTGTGTTACTCCTCAGATCGGAATGCAGGAGTTGGTCAAGGTTATAACTATTTGACTGTTGACACGATTTCGTTCGGACTTAGACTTGTATCCAGGGTTATAAAATTTATTATTTAAAATGTATGCTTTTTATAATATAGTAAGTAACGCGATCCGTGATCCGGCTGTAATGGCGACTTTCAGGAGACTCATTGTCAGGGGTAGTCGACAAGTGAACGTGATAGGAACCAGCGAGAGCGAGACAACCAACCCTGTGGCGCTTTTACGAGCGAGCAACAAACGCTGGCTTATTACTGGCTGGTTCATTTTCTACCCGTTGTAACATTATTTGTAGAAAGAAACATCATTCTGTCTACTCTGCGCGTATTGAGCAGCAGCGTAGCACCTGCTCTTCTGCGCTTATCGCGCGCACCGCATCCTTTTGATTGTGAAGGTAGCAAAGAATGAAACGCGAGCATGTGGATATTTAAATATTTGCCAGTATTGTTCCTGTTTAGAAGGATATGCAAACACTGGGTAATTTTGTTTATGAAAAGTCTGAATCTCGATTGCATTCTGTAAAGATGATTTGGTGTGTGTGCGAGGATTTCCCCTGTATTTTGTTTTCGAGAAATCGACCACGTGCTTCTGATGCATGCTTGCGGATTAATGACCTGCAGATCATATGAGGAACATGAGAATTTTGGGAGGAAAGGTACATAAAATATTAAGATATATTAATGTATACGTTACACGAAAACATTGCACAGGATGTATTTAAAATTGCTTTTCCTTTTCGATTTTACGGATTGGAACAAAACCATGAGCCCTTGTACTGGGATAAATTTCTACTAAATTTTGTCTGCACCTCTTCAGAAAATATTGCTTGCGTTTATTGTTTCATTACCATTTGTAGCTCTTGTTTTTAGCAGCGATATTGGCTTCCTAAAATGCTTACCGCGAAAGCTGATTAAAATCTTTGGTAACAAGTCCCGTGTTCGTCTTATGCGTTCAGTTATCGTAATTGCCCAAAATAAGCATCTAATTTAAACAATGTGCATTAAGCCTTTTGTTTTTACTGTAGAAAGAAATTCCGGGAATGGCTAGCATAAAATGAGTTAAGAGTAAAAGAAAGTTCATAGCCGTGCCACCAAATATATTTAACTGCGAAAGTTGTTTAATAAGACAGTTATTAAAATTGTTGAAAGAATGGCAGTGAGAAGTTCCTTTTGCAGATGCAAAGTTTAGTGTGTGATGGCAAGGCTTGAAGTAAAGAAATCCTTAAATATACAACACCTGTAAAACATCCTCTGCTGAGTAAGTTTTAAGGAGTAGGTTGTATGAAAAAAAAAAAAAAAAAAAAAAAGCAATGAAATGTTTGTTAAAACAGCTGCATGAGAATTATAGATTTCAACTAACTTTACAACCGTATATTGTACAATGCTATTACTATATTTTTTATACTGGAGACTGAAATATCCTTTTAACATTTTCTGGAATTGATGAATTATTTGGTCAAAATGTGTGTCATACTGAGTACAAAGGGTACATATTTATATACAAGTGTATCTTATACTTTTGTGAGAAAGAATTTAAGAAATGCAAGCGACAAAACTTGTAAATTAGCTTCCATGTTTAATGATAAATGCATCTCGCTGTTTTAAATCAGCGAGAAAACTCGTAAGTGAGGCCTGTCTATCACATAAACTACAAGCCTTCTGGGGCCCCAAAAGTGATATTTCCCATAATCATGTTTTTTCCTGCTTCTCATGTAAGCAAGTAAAATGTTATAGACAATCTAAATTAGGCTTTAATAACACAAGAAACAACATCATAAAACCGACATCCTTTGCTGACACAATAGTAAGGCTGCTCAAAAAACACTTTTGACTTTGTACCCTAAAAAAGGGGAATAGTTTAATCAAATTCTTTTCCTTTTGATTTGCTCTGTATGATCCTTAGCTACAACTGCTTACCACTGTCGTAGGCTATGCCGATACTGTGTTTGTAGCGATTAACACTTCGAAATCACTTATAATTCTCTGAAGGTGACAAATATGTAATAATCCTCTTAATTAATTGTTGCATGATTATTAATCGCTTAACACTCAGGTGGACCTTCCATAGTAAATTAAAGAGAATTTCTACGAAAATGTTCAGATTAGTTATGATTAAACTTTTGTGAAACAAGCCATTCTCAGACTCTTACATATATGCAGAAAGCACACTTGATGCACATTTTAAAAGCTTTTCTTAAGTTACCAATTGAAATTGAAAAAAGGAATCTGATTTTTTTTTATAATGATTACTGTAAATATGAGAAAAACTGATTTTAAATAATACGAAAAATTGGTTTTGATTTCACCTCCAGTGTTGGGAAAGAAATAAGTAAGCTAATATACATGGAAAAATAAATAATTATGAAACCTAGTCGATTTTCGATCATTCGGGAACGACATCCACGATTACCTGAAAGTTATAATTGGTAAAAGCAGAAACATAACACATGTTATTATATAATTAACAGGAAAAAGGGATTTAATCAGTTTAATTTGGGGAATAAGCATTTAAACAAAAATACAAGACAAAATGTTTGTTTATATAACTATTTATTTTTAACGGATGATATAAGTGTTTATATATTCCGAATTATATGTTAAATTAGTACTATAAGTGGATAAAACAACCTAATTTCTGAGACGTCCTCTGATATCACTACAGCTATCCTAAGCATTGTTTCCTTTTTGTATTTCCCGTTAAAATATTGATTTATTTCGATGGTTTGTGCTCGTAATTTTTCTGTCATGCCTCAGTAAAGAAACTTCAACGTTTTTTAGATGAAGTGTGGTTAATCGGGATTTGATTTCATCAACGCTTTCAGGACCAAACGGTTTTTTGATTCGTCCATAGATGGCGCCACATGCTCTGGATGTCCAAGGTCAGATTTGTTTGGGTTTATATGTAAACATTCCTGGCCAATGCTCGTGCTGCTTCACTTTGATTGACATCCTGAAGCACGTGGAAATAGTTCCAAATGCGGGAGGAGAGAAAATTTTATAACGCATGGGATAGCTGCGAGCTAATGGAGAGGAACTTCATTTTATTATTTACTTACAACCCGTAAACGGCTGTGTTAATTTTTCATGAAGTATCGGAAAATTGGGTGCTTGTTGCATTTGGGTAGTATCGTATCAAGATATGCGAAATGGCTGAGTAATTAACTTGAAAATAACAAACGTAATTACTGAGCAGAAATATTTTTTAGCAGTAAAAGTGATTACTGCAAACAACTGATAGAAAACCGATGAAACTCCGTACTGTCAGATGGATCTTTTTTCTTATGGATCAGCTCAGCAGTTGGATTACGTTATCCTATTTACGTTAAATCGATTTGTGTTTCCGCGTCACAGCTGTGAAAGCTTCTCCGGTTCTCTATCTTAACCGAAAAGAGTTCGCTGTTCCTCTTTGTGGAATACACGTTCACTTTTATAGAAAGGGAAATATAGAAAAATTGTATTCTTTATAATGAATGCAATTTTATATTATTAATGAAGGACGATATATACGACAAATGCACATTTTCGTAAAATTTTATATATTGCTTCTGAATAAATGAAATTAGTGGAGAAAATCTTTTAACAGTAATTAAACTAAAAAATTAAAGTCGATAATAAAAAAATAAATTCTTTCGAAAATTGGAAAATGGTAATTGTTAGATAAATACTCTGTAATGTTTCTAACTACTTTGTCTGTGCTTAAGTTAGTAGAAACCTTGTTGAACTATGTAGGGACTTATCGCTGAGTCCAAGTGTACAAAAGAAAAGTCCAGAGAAGGGTTGAAAAAACAGACGGCCAGCAGAGAAGGGCCGATGCTATTCGCACCAACAATGCGATTAGCCGCTTAAACTATTCGCACCACCATTAACCACGCATGCGCATTGAATTACCAGATCCGTAACTGATTCTACGTACGCGAACTGCCTAAGTGTTGTAGTGAATCTTTTTAAAAGTCGGGTACCTTGGCGTAGTTTATCATTTTAAGCGTTGGCTACTTTAAAAAGTTTAAAGAAAAATGGGTTTCTTTTCTTATAAAAAGAAGGAACACATTTCCTTTTATTAAAGTATATATAAAAAAGGGCAGATTTTTATGTTTGCAGTGTTTATCGTTTTCCTGAACGATTGGAATAGTTTAAATGACCGGTTTTGGGGGGGGGACAAAATCTTGTTTACATTTTTTGTGCTTCTTAGAATACATTTAGCTTCCAAGATGTGTTTTGCGCAATCAAGACTTAATTCATTCCTCTTTGAAAATCTTAGCCCGAGAAAAGATAATAAAGATTAGACAGAGGTTTCCTGTATAGAAGGATTTAGACATGAAATAAGTTAAAAGCGATTAAGTCAACAATTAAATGCATAATTAATCATATACTACTGGTTATTAACAATTCTGTATGCCTGTTTATTTTTTTATGGGAATACTTGGCATTTTCAGGACACAAAAAGTACTTAAAAAAACTTTGAAATACTAGTACAAACACATTAATAAATTAAACTGAAATAAATAATGGGATGTAATTTACAAAAGGACAGAAAAAAATGTAAGGGATTTAGGTTTAAAAATTTGCACACACAAATGATTTATCAGACTGTATAAGGTTTTATTTCATAAATAACTTTAATTTTTAAATGTGGCATTTGAACCTATAAACATGAGTGGATACTGAAAAAATTATGAATATATAAGAATATTATAATTTTTAGTAAGTTTTCTTATTGAATAATAAATTCTGACAGAAGACTAGGGTCTAAGTTTGCATAAAAATTCCTCTGTTAAATAAAAGAATTTCAGTAATTTCTGTAGCCTTTTTGTCAATATATTAAAGATTTTTTTAACTAATTACACGTCCTCGCTTGCAATTAGAACCATCATTAAATCCCTATTTTATTGAATCATTTCCTGAACATTATCATGTATATAGATTGACCTCGTCTTTGTAACTGATAATTACTACTTGCAAATTATTCTCTTGCTGGTGAACTATTAACAACCCTTTCTATTGCTGAGTTAGGGTTAACAATCTTCGCTCTGCCTTACGAAAATGGCGTAAAATGCTGGTACCTAGGCTGATTGTGCGCATGCGCGAACGTAGGTGGTGTGAATAGCCACTGCGGCAGAGAAGCCTCTACTTTAACTCAAGAAAAGCAGAAACTAATTTAATGCTCAACTAAACTGGCAATACCAGCAGGAACGAGTCGTACGGCCGAGCGTAATTAGCTTTAAACAACGAAGCAGCCTGAGGGCAAATACGCACCACTGAAGGAATCCTAAGCTGCTCTGCTGAAGTAGATTGTCAGCCGTGGTCGTGTTCGAGGTCTTCGACTCTTGTGGGCCTACATATTGCGTATCCCCCTGGGCTTGAAAAAATTAATTCTAGACAAGTGGAAGAACATGAGCACTAATGTGTGCGATGTAAACGAATAAAGTAAAACTGGCTTTAGCTGTAGAGGAAAAAATAACTTTCATCTGTGTAGGAAATTTCACGAGCCAAAAGCTTTCATACCAGCTTTCCAAAAGTAATAAGCGCGACTCTGTACTCTAACGCTCCTCTTTGGCTTCTGGAAGAAAGGGAATTTAATTTTCTGCTTCGGAAAATGAGATAATCAGTTGCATAACTTGAAATCCTGTGATTAGCTTTTCTGAGGCAGCTCTGGCATTCTTTAGCTGCGTTAATTTGTTGAAGTCCATAATTGTACGATCCTTAATTTCGAAAACTGGATTGGTTCGTTTTCAGTGTCTAAATTTTTTCGGAGCATTTCACTGTAGCTATTTTTTTTCTCTTGAGAATAGTAGTTTCTGCGCTGTTAAGGTTCATGAGTGTTGTTTTCTGTTTTGCGGATTTTGGAAAAACGTTTCTTATATTCTGAGCATTTACGGTAGGAACTTAAATGTTCTTGACTGCAAAAAATGCAAATTTGTTTTTCATCGGGTTAATTACTAAACGAGCTTCTGTGATTTAATCCATATTTGTAACATTAAAACATTTGCGCTGTGTGTGGCCGAACCGCTGCCATTTAAAGCACTGGGTCGGACGTTTGATTTTCCTGCTATAAGGTTCGATGTGTACATTAAAGTTGAAAATTTTCTTTAGTTGTAGTATGGATTTTCCTTTTTGGGTAGGAACAAGTTCAGTAAAATAGATTGGGAGTCGGATAATGGAGTCTTCTCTTTCCTTATTGAAGTGTTTTAACCTTAAGAATTAGAAGATTTCTGTGAGTGAGATTTTTTATGATTTCTTCTTCGGCGACAGAAGAGGGAAGATTTTTGATAATAACTTTGAAATTTTTCTTGCTGTCGAGTTGATAATGAAAATTAATCTTATATTTTATTAAGAATTCAACAACTGTGTTGTAGTCGTCTAAAGTTTAGGAATAAAGATGAATGCTTCTATACTTAATCTGAGTTTCAAATTCATTTCTGTATATGTTGTTTAATGCTTTATCATTTGATATACAGTGTACACTTTCCTCGGTATGTTTGGCGCTTTCTTCTGAATCTTGTTAATTAGTATCTAGGTTTGCAGAGAGTTTCTCAAGGATGATTTCGGCTGCTTGTATGTTTAGGGTAGGGGTTATTCATTTATCTTAATTATTTCCAATGTGGTCTGATGGGCTACGGTAATGTCCATTTTGCTATCATGATTTTCTTTTATTTCTTCCTTTTACTTATTTCTCCTGTAAGATGCGTGAAAACGCTTTTATGCTTGTTTACTATATCTTGAAAAGCGGTATTTGTTTTGATCTTTTTAGCTGCAGTTTTCAGTATTTTTTTTAATGCTCAGCTATAATTTTCCGTTGCTCGGGATTGCTAAAATCGAAGCTGGAATTTGAAACATTAGAAACCATCGATTAATATTCACTATCTATGTCTTCATCTTCAGTGGGACAGTACCATGATGTAGCCAACCTCAAGATGTTCCTAAGTAAGAGAAACCTTTCTTTAAATACTCTTTCTACCTCATTTACATGCAGCGAGATATTAAAAACCTATTCTGGTAGGGAATAGGTGGAAAACTAGTATAGACAATAAAGCATGTTTAAAATTAAAATAACTTACAAACTTAAAGTAACTTCTACATCTTTTCCCACCAAAATTTAACTACTCTAACAGAAAGGTCTCACAAAGGACATTTCGATTGAGAGATTAAATTCTTGAAAAACCTTACTTTAAATTTACTTTCTAAATTTCAAACTTTAAATTATTCATTGAAAAACCTTACTTTAAATTTACTTTCTAAATTTCAAACTTTAAATTATTCATTCTCAAATACACTTGCAAAAACGTTTTAGACTCTTATCTCCAGTTTCACTTCTGTAGAACCAAGT